TCAACTCTCTCAATCAACCAAATTTTTGGTTCAATTTTCCCCAATCTTGGCCGGTTATGGAAGGAGAAAAGGAGAAGCCAAAATTGCCATTAATTCCCCTTCAACCACTACCATCCCATCACCTTAACTTGTAGCCTTCTAACACACTCAACATATAACCAAAATTTTTGGATATAACTTCCTAAGGATGGCCGGCCAAGTGAAGAGAAAAAGGATAAAAAAAAAAAACTAATCATTAGTCCTATTCACCTCTCTCATCACATCTCATCAAATCACACATACTAACCTACCCTTGTACTTTTGTCCATTCCCTTAACTTACTCATTAAAACTGTCCAAAATCATACTGACAGTTATTTTCTCCTGTATACGGGTTCTGGATGCTAGGTTGTACTGTGCTGGGAGATTCTTAAAATTAAGATTCTCTAACTGTATCTATACTGGAAATTCTTCCGTTTTAAAGTACGGTGAGAATTTATCGATCGAATTTACTTGATCGGAAAAATGTGAACTTAACGTGAAATCTGCTACAGAATTTAGGAATGCAGATGTTAATTCCCTAAATCCTTCAATCACAAAATGTACATAGTATAATGATTTTCCCGGAAAATCCTTGACTTGAATACATGAATTATATTATTAAAATTATGGGATTTTTTTCTTGGTCACTACAACCGGTTCCACAAACTATTTCATGTTTCAAATCATCATTCCAAGGGTTTTCAATCTCAAAACATGGATTTAAGATACTAATCCATATACTCTAGGTCCCCAAATGAAGCTAATTTGGGTTCTCCTTGAAAATAGAGGTTAAAACAGCATTTTCAGGCCAAACAGGGTCAACCCCGTGTACACCGATCGACCGTTGACAGAGCAGTGCAACACCACCAGTCGACCGGTGGTGTGCAATCCGGTCGACCGGTGAGGCCAATGCAATCCGGTTGACCGACCGGTGAAGAACACTAGTGCGAGAAACTTGCAAAAATCAGTTCAAAAACCTGCAAATCCAGTCTCAAATCACAATATTTCAAGGGACAACACCTGAATCCGGGTTCTAGGTACTAAATCAAGTGCAAAGAACCCGAGATCCCCAATTTCTACTATGTTTTTAGTTAAAATCCATCAAAATCTATTTCAAACCAAAATAAGTTTTTAAATCTGAAAAAACTTGATAATCAAGAGAGGTTTTTCAGAGATATTACATTAAATCCTTCTCTTGACGTTGAAAACTCTTTGAAATTCCTCTTTGGTTCGAGATCCGGTTGATTTTGAAGCAAAACGGGAGAGAGAGACAACTGAGAGAGAGAGTGAGAGAACAAGAGAGTGAGGGTGAGAGAGAGAGAGAGTATGCACAGGAAGGAAAGAAAGAAAGGAAAAGGAAAGAAAGAAAGGAAAAGGAAAGAAAAAGGAAAGAAAAAGGAAAAAGAAAAAGAAAAGGAAAAGGAAAATGGACAGGTGTCCAATATTTAAAATGACAGTCCAGAAATGTGACCATACACACTTCTGGATAAAAATGTAAATACTAAGAATATTTAAATACCTTGAAATTATTTAAATTCACATGTCAAAAATATTTATTAATTAATAACTAATTAATTAATTCAGATCAGGCACACTAATAAATCTCAATTATCTTAATTAATCTCATTTAATTCTTTAGGGTGTTACAAAAACTCCATGTTTAATAACGTACTCAATCTATTAAAGAGCAATAAATATATATATATTAAAAAAAAAAAACCTTTAGGGTTAGAATTTGGTTTAATATTGAAACTTTCAATTGCAAACAATGACTTCTTATACGTACATATAAGGGTCTTTTGTACTGATAGTGCATGATATAGGGTGGAACAAATAAGTACAAATGGCTTTCAAAGGTGAAACTTATGATAGAGTGCATGTAATGTTGAATTTAAAAGAAATTAAAATGAAATATAATGAAAATATGCAAAACTAATAAAAATTTATACTTCCGTTTAAAAAGAGAGGCCCATCTCTACAATTATTTATTTATTTTTTGTTTTGTTTTGCATGCTGCCGAAGAATACAAATAAACAAATAATTAAGTATTTCCTTCTTTTTACGACCAATAAGAAAATTATGGTGTCCTTCTCAAGAAAAAAACAAAAAAAGAAAAGGAAGAAAAGTAGATAGTTTTGGTGGTTGTTGGGTTTTCTAATATATATATATATATATATATATATATATAAACCTTTAGGATTAGAATTTGGTTTAATATTGAAATTTTCAATTGCAAAAGATGACTTTTTATAAGTACATATAAGGGTCTTTTGTACTGTTAGTGCATGATATAGGGTAGAACAAATAAGTACAAATGGCTTTCAAAGGTGAAACTTATTATAGGGTTTCTACTGTGCATGTAATGTTGAATTTAAAAGAAATTAAATTGAAATATAATGAAAATATGTAAAACTAATAAAAATTTAAGAAATGTCTCTAATCCGGCACTGGATTAGAGCGGCACATATATATTTTCTTTAAGAATATATATATTTCTTTTTAAAAATATGTATATTTCATTTTAAAATATGTATAATATGAAAGAGACACATATAATTCATCTAAATACCTATATACATGTTTTAAATATATATATATATATTTAAAATATATATATATGTTCCGCTCCAATCCATGATTGGAGAGATTACCTAAAAATTTATACTTCTGTTTAAAAAGAGAGGCCCATCTCTACAATTATTTATTTATTTATTTGTTTTGCATGTTGCCGAAGAATAAAAATAAACAAACAATTAAAGTATTTCCTTGTTTTTACGACCAATAAGAAAATTGCGGTGCCCCTCAAAAAAAAAAAAAAAAGACTTTGGTGCAAAGACTTCGGGGTTGTTGGGTTTTCTAAAATGATGACTCAATCAAAAGTCACAATGAATTAATTAAGAGAGAAAGAGGAAAATAGGCAAAAACTTGAAATGAATTAAAATTAATAGGTCAATAGTTTACATAAGTTAATAAATAGGTCAAATTACTATTTTTGTCCATAACTAGTTTGGTTATGAACCATAACTTGACAAGTTATTATCCATAATTGTCCATAACTAGTCTAACTATGAACCATAACTTGACAAATTTATCCATAATTTATCTGGTTATGAACCATAACTTGACACATTATGGGCTATTAATTTTTATAACTAAAAATTAGTCTATATACTTTCTTAAATTTTTCATATTGGCCTATTTTCTAAATTCTGGCCGTGGGGGATCTAGTGGAGGTCGTGGTCGCAATGGTGGGCGTGGAGAGGCAAGTGCTTGTAACACCTCGAGAAATTAAACAGGATTAATTAAGATAATTGGATTTATTAGTGTGCCTAATTTAGTTTAATTAATTAATTATGTTTATTAAATGTTTATGGTATTCAAGTTTAAATGTTTTCAAAGTATTTAAATATTTTTAATATTTATATTTTTCACCCAGAAGTATATGTAGACACATTTTTTAGTCTACTTTTGTAAATATCTTTTGAAATTATGCTTTACTTTTCTTTATTTCTTTTTCTTTCCTTTTTTTCCCTTTTTGTTTAACAAATTATTCAACAATAAAGTGATTGTCAAAAAGTAAAAAGAATCAAGTGTTGTATGTTACAGGCGATTTAAATTTATGTGTTTTCACAAAAACAAAAATTGTGTTCAGTCAAATATAGGATTTGTTTTTTCCCCTTGAGCTAAGCTTGTAGATATTTTTCCTACCAGACATTTTGCACCCTCACCCCCTCATGTTTTTCTTTCAGGAAGTCGTTCCGAAAGGTGTCCAGGGACACAGCTTACACAAGGAAGAAGATTTATTTATTTCTCTTTAGTCATGTCCACATGCTTTTGAGTCGTGTTTGTGCAGATAGGCCGAACTCGATGTTACTTTAACTCGTGATGAATTATGCTTACAATAAGCCTGATGGCATTGCTTAGAGACAATCTTGATTAAGTTGTCATGTAATTGTTTGTGATTAATTTCAGTGTGATGTATCGTTAGTTTGGACAGAAGTCATGGAGATGTTTCAGTTTGCTATGAGCTATGCTAATAATGTGGACTCGTTCGGCAAATTAGTTGAGTTTTTTTACATTTGATGAGTGCAATATAATTATAATATCTGCAGGTTGTAGAGTTCAAGGCGTTCCTTATATCGGATGCGTTTGAAACTCGTTCTAAAATGATTTTATTTTTTGTATGAAAATGAAAATGAAAACGTTTTTAATCTCAGACAGAAATCATTTTTGAAAATACGTTTGATATTTTTATCAAGAGATTATTTTTAGTGTAAAAAAACCCAATAATGTCATTCTTTCTCTCTCTACTCGAGAGAGTATAAAATGAAAACAAAAAATGAAAAACGACTAAAAGTCGTTTTTCATTTCTCTCTCATTTTACACTAAACCAAAAAATCGGTTTCATTTCCGTTTTTTATATTTATTGCGCCAAACGCTGTTTTGGAAACATTTTCATTTTTTCTTTCTCGAAAAACGTAAAAAAAAATGAGCCCATTATTCAAATGTTTCTTAGCACCTCGAGTCCCCGTCGCGTTCACTTGTAAAATATAACTCAACGTGATGTTAGAATTAATTAATTATAATACCATAACATTATTTAAGTTAAATCATAACGTTTATTCCTAACTCGATTGATAATGGATATTTTTTCGATCACAATCTCTACTATTTCATCCGAACAAGTATTTAGTACAACCGAACGAATACTTAAGAAACGCCGAAAATATGCAAAACTAATAAAAATTTATACTTCCGTTTAAAAACAGAAGTCCATCTCTACAATTATTTATTTATTATTTTTCTTTTTGTTTTTTTTTTTTTGTTTGCATGCAGCCGAAGAATAACAAATAATTAAGTATTTCCTTCTTTTTAAGACCAACAAGAAAATTATGGTGTCTCTCTCAAGAAAAAAAAAACAAAAAACAAAAGAAAAAGAGAAAGAAGAAAAGTAGATAGTTTTGGTCGTTGTTGGGTTTTCTAAAATGATAACTCGATCCAAAGTCGTTGGGTGGGAAAGGAATAAAGCATAGACTCTGGTGATGCACACCACGGTACGTAAGAATAATTAAGTTACGGGAAGAAAGGAATAATTTATTCATCATTTAATAAATATTATTGGTAGAATAATTAAGTTATTTCCATTATTGCTCTGCTAGCTTGATCCAAAGCTGAGGAAGAGATGTCGGAGACTTTCCTCACCCCTGTGATTGAGAAGTTGGTTGAGCTGTTGGCCGATGAAGTCGGCTTGCTGAAAGGAGTCCACAAAGAAGTGAAGAGCCTCAAAGATGAACTCGAGATCCTCCAGCCGTTCCTCAAAGATGCCGAAGCCAAGTCGGAGAAAGGAGAAATCAGTGAGGCTGCACAAATATGGCTGAAGCAGCTGAGGGAGAAGGCGGATTGTATCGAAGACGTCGTCGATGAATACCTCCGTCACCTCTCACAGCGTGGTCAGCAGCAGCGGCATGGCTTTGTTCGTTCACTCCGCAAAATGGGTCAGATCATCAAAGCCTTGAAACCGCGTCATGACATAGCTTCTGAGATTCGAGATATTAAAGAGTCATTGCGTGAAATCAAGGAAAGAGGTCAGAGTTACGGGTTGAGACCTTTCGAGCAAGGATCTAGCAGAGGTAGTACAACCAGTAGCACAAGTGATGCAGCAGGCCTCACCTCTCGATTGAGTTCTCTCTTCATCGAGGATGATGAGCTTGTGGGAATCGAGTCGACATCAAAGATGCTCATAACAAGTTTGGTTGAGGAGCCGTCGGCACGCACGGTGATTTCACTTGTTGGTGAAGGTGGAATTGGTAAAACAACTCTTGCTAACAAAATTTTCAACGACGAAGAGGTGAAAGGACACTTCGATTGCCATGTTTGGGTCACTGTGTCTCAATCGTACGATATCGACAAGATTTTAAGGATCATGAAAAAGAAGATTTGCCCAAAAGTTGGACAACCCGCGGAGGAAGAAATCTTCACCATTGAAGAATTAATTAGTCTTTTGAGGCAGTTTTTGGAGACAAAAAGGTACGTGGTTGTTTTCGATGACGTGTGGAAAACAGAATTTTGGGATGTCATTAAACATGCTTTGCCTAATAACAACAATGGTAGTAGAATAATTGTCACAGCTCGTAATAGTGCCGTTGTTGACTCCTTTAAGGAGACCCCATTTGATGTTGTACATGAGCTAAAACCTTGGTCTTCAGAGCTTGCCTGGGAGCTATTTTGCAAGAATGCTTTTCGCTATGAGTCTCAAGGGAAATGTCCCCAAGAGTTGGAGGACTTGTCCCGTAGGTTCGTAAGTAAATGTCAGGGCTTGCCACTTGTTATTGTGGCTGTCGCTGGTTTGTTGTCCAAAAAGGAGAAGACCAAATTGGAATGGCGAAGCGTGCTTGATAATCTCAACGATGAGTTCGAAAAAAATCCCCAACTTGCCAATGTTTCAAGAATTCTCTCTTTCAGTTACCATGATCTACCTTACCATCTTAAAACTTGCCTCTTGTATTTTGCCATTTTTCCTGAAGATTATTCTATTCTTGAGGGAAGACTGTACACACTTTGGATCGCTGAGGGCTTTATTCAATTAAGGAGAAACAAGACACCAGAACAAGTTGCTAAAGAATACTTGAGCGAGCTCATTGGTAGAAACTTGGTTTCATTTGAGATACGGCACGGAATCGAAAAACAGTGCCATGTTCATGATTTGATACGTGATCTCATTTTAGCAAGAGTTGATGAGTTCTCTTTCTGTCAAATTCTTGAAGACAATAAGTTGAGATTCGAAGGAAAGAGCCGCCGTGTATCAATTTATGGTACTACAAAGGATGTCTTAGAGTCTGTTGCAGGTTTTAAGATGCGTTCTCTCTTCCTCTTCAACGTCGATGGATTCAATAAGTCTTTTGTGGTTAGTTTGTTCGAAAGATTTAAACTTCTGAAGGTGCTGGATTTCGAATATGCTCCACTTGACGATCTCCCAAGTGAAGTAGGGAGTTTGTTTCACTTGAAGTACCTAAATTTGAGAGGTACAACTATAAAAACGCTTCCAAGGACCATTGGTAAGCTACAGAATCTAGAGGTGTTGAATATTTCTCAGACCCAGATAAAAGAGCTGCCAGACGAGATCAAAAAACTTCAAAATTTGCGGTATCTTTTATCCTTTTGTCATGTGGACAATAAGGAAAGTGAATATAGTTTCGATTCATTCTATGGTGTGGGGATCAGGGAAGGGATTGGATGTTTGGAGAAGTTACTAACACTACATTTAGTCGAACCGCGTGTTGGAGGAGTTGATTTTGTGAAAGAGTTAGAGAAGCTGCAGAAATTGAAGACTTTGGGCATTGGAAAGTTGACCGCAGAAATGGGGAAGGCTCTTGCAGCATCCCTTGAGAAAATGAAAGGCCTTGAAAAGTTATATGCATACTCAAAAGACGAAGGGGAGATTTTAGATCTAAAGGGCATTATATGTCCTCCTTTTCTATGGCATGTAAGCTTGCAATGTCGGTTTCAAGAGTTTCCGGATTGGCTTTCCAAGCTTGAAAACCTAAAGGAACTGAATTTACGTTTCTCAAGGTTAGCGGATGAACCGTTAAAATGGCTCAAACATTTGCCAAATTTAGTATTCCTGCTCTTATACAAGGCGTACGACGGAGAGGAACTGCATTTTGAGGAAGGCGGTTTTCTAAAACTCAAGCAACTTAAATTACGAGATTTGGAAGGACTAAAGGTGATGAAAATAGACAAGGGAGCACTGCCCCTTCTTGAGAAGTTTGCATTCGGGCCTTCACCGCTAATGAAGGAGATGCCTTCTGGTATAGAGCACCTAACAAACCTCAAATCTCTGGACTTTAGAAACATGTCAAGGGAATTTGTGGTTAGTCTGCAACCGAATGTAGGCCCTGATTATTGGAAAATCAAAAATACACCATCAGTCACCTTCTGGCACAAGAGGGAACGCTACAAGCTGGGCAGCTCGGAGTTGTTGCAGCGTCTGCAAGAGTTAGGCAATTGAGATCAAACAAAGGAAGTGGCAGCGTAAGAAGGTAGATTTACCCCCCTCTGACCCACTTTCTTGTTCTATTTTTTTTCTTGGAATTGTTCATAGAAAATACTATATTTCACACAAAAATTTTCATTTCCTCATAGTACTTCATTTCTTACGATTCTGAAATCCAATAGAAAGACATGTAGTCAGTGTAAATGTGTCAACTAACTCGTGTCTAAAATGTCCTGTTGCTACCGTTGTATTTTCTGAATTCATTTTAACAGATTATCCTTTTTTTTTATAACCTTTAACAAATTATTCAAGAATTAAGTGATTGTCAAAAAGTAAAAAGAATCAAGTGCTGTATGTTACAGGCGATTTAAATTTATGTATTTTCACAAAAACAAAAATTGTGTTCAGTCAAATATAGGATTTGTTTTTTTCCCTTGATCTAAGCTTGTAGATATTTTTCCTACCAGACATTTTCACCCTCACCCCCTCATGTTTTTCTTTCAGGAAGTCGTTCCGAAAGGTGTCCAGGGACACAGCTTACACAAGGAAGAAGATTTATTTATTTCTCTTTAGTCATGTCCACATGCTTTTGAGTCGTGTTTGTGCAGATAGGCCGAACTCGATGTTACTTTAACTCGTGATGAATTATGCTTACAATAAGCCTGATGGCATTGCTTAGACACCATCTTGATTAAGTTGTCATGTAATTGTTTGTGATTAATTTCAGTGTGATGTATCGTTAGTTTGGACAGAAGTCGTGGAGATGTTTCAGTTTGCTATGAGCTATGCTAATAATGTGGACTTGTTCAGCAAATTAGTTGAGTTTTTTTACATTTGATGAGGGCAATGTAATTATAATATCTACAGGTTGTAGAGTTCAAGGCATTCGCTCTACAATTGCTTCACCTATAGCCCATAATTCAAATTTTTCGTTTTTAATAATGAGATAATATCAGAAGTAACATTTGCTAAAACAGCAGAATAAATTGCAGCAATGGCATTTGTGTAGTAGTTTTCGACTGAGGATGGACAAAGGCCAGAAGCAGAGATGAATTCAAGACGCTCTAGAAGTCGAAATCTAGCAGTTCAGCAGGGAGGAATTATCATATTACTAAGCTACCACTATAGTTTTAAAAAAAAACTTTAAAGTAAAAAAAAATGACAGATTACAACGTTCTATCAATGCACAGAAGAATCTTGTCAAGAAGTATTACTAACTCAGACAAATAAAATAAACATAAACTGGATGAAGGTTTCGAGTCAAAAGATTTACTCTCCCATCAAAGTAAGTGGAAGATGCCTCGTTAAAATCCTGGAATTGCAAAAGCTAACTGATAGGAAACCATGTGAGGAAAAACAGCACACTTTATTGGAATATTTTCATGTGGACTTTCAGAATCAAAATAATTCATTCTATCATGAATCAAAGCATCTCATGGATAACAGTATTAATGTGAATTAACAATTGCATGTATGTCAAAAATCAGTCAATAATGGGATGAACACTCAGTTTGTTAACTAACTTGAGGCTCACGAGCTCCATCAATCTCATAATATTTTGTCAGCCCATTGATTTTAGTTCAAACAGTTCTTACCAGTAGTGTAGGATAACAGTTCTTACTTCTAAGTAATAATATTCATTAAAAAAGAGAAGAAAAATATAAAAAATTCCCTTTTTTTTTATCTATAATTATTACCCACTATGTTCAAATCCATACTTAATATGGTGCTCTGTTGCTACAGAAATTAGCAACATTTAGTTTTCCTATGGGCAGGATAATAGGATCATGCTAACCCCAGTTTTTTGTTTATGCAAGAGCTGTGCTAAAGGAATCTAACGACAACAATACGCCATAAATGTGCGAAAATAGTCAACTTATAGTTTTTAGGTTTATCTAGATTGATTTTTGTGAGTTGTGGGATTGCCAGGTTTGGTTTTTGTTGGTTTTACACCTATGTATTCAATATTAACCACTTCTTTGAGGAAAAATCAAAACAGACCAGAAAATTTTGAAACAATTCTGAGTAAATAAGAATGCTAAACCAGTGACATCTGCATCAGATATGCAGGATGGGGCATATTGGAAAGAGTTTTTACCATCTTTATTCCTTAAGTACAAAAAATAAAAAATAAAAAATAAAAAGAAGAAGAAGATAGTTTCTTTTTCTCTTGAAATAAAGGATGCTAATTTTGGGGAAATCTTCTAGCCACTGCCTGTACTACTTTGCTATAAACTGCAGCTTAATTTGTCATTTATATTGTATGACACAAATGAACTCGGTTGCAATTTTCACGATACTGTGACTTTTAAAGTTTAAAAGTTCAAAAACTAATATGACATATGATGAAGTCAAAAATGAAATTAACTCTAAATAGTAATTGTAATATATTATATATTCTTAAACGGTTTTAAGTAAATAACATATTTATGAAACAATTGAAATAAATATCACATTCTCTCTGTTTCTAAAATAGGTTATTTACCTCTTTCTCTCCGTATTAATTTGGTTCAAAATATAACAATAAAAAAAAATAAGAAGAAGAAGGAACATGCCAATAAAATAGTTCATAAATTACATGAAGCAGGCAGCTTCGGCGAAAGAAAGCCTAATTGGACATTTGGGTAATTAATCCTTCTAGAAATGATGACTCAGCCAACAATGAGATGACGAATTGACAAGAATTGATTAAATCAAGGGGGATATGGTTGGTTTTTTTTTTTTTTTTTTTTTTTTTTTTTTTTTTTTTTTTTGGAAAGAATATTGTAATGAGTGCCATTAGATATCGTGAAAAATTAACATAGTCAAGTTGTTTGATTTACATTCTATTCACATATAAATTTCAACATGTATGTGTGCGCATGTGTATCTATAAATATTTTTTTTATAAAAAAAAATTTTAATTTAATAAAGCACTTCTACCTAAAACCAAAATATAATACTGTTACGCATGCCCATTAAGATGCTAATTTCAGCTTTCACATAACTTTTGACTTCTCTAGTCCTCTATTTATACATAATTTATTTCACATAATTTCATGCCTTGTCGGGTTTCCATATGGTTGAGTTCCAAAGATTAAATTACTTTTTATGATGATTTATTTAAGGACAAATAATCTGAAGTTTAGTCAATATCGTTCAGCAACGAATTATATTTTTAGTCATGATGAATTATTTATATCACAGAATGCCTCCATTGAGTTGGGGTTAGTAGTGCTGAAACTTTGAACGGCGGGCCTGCCCGAAGCCTGAATTTTTTCGGGCTCGGCGGGCAAGACCTTATGTCCACCAGTCCAGCGTAAGGGTCGGGCTCGGGTTCGGGCAGCCCAAAAAAAAAGTATTTGAACCAAGCCCGCCGCCCGTGTGTACCCCATGCTCGCCGGAGTGCCCGCCTGATTGCCCACCCAACAACTAGTCTTTTGACCGTTGCTGCCCGGACTGACTGCCAACCCGAAAGCCCATCTTCAACAGCTATTTTTTGTGCCATTGCCCAAGAAGCTCGAACCGCCCGCCCGAAGCCTGACCCGTCAAGCAAAAACTAGCCGTTGGATTCAAAAATTTGGGGAAAAAATTGATTTTTTTAACCAAACAATTTCCCTATAAATATCACCCTCCCCCTAATATTTTATTCACTACATTACTCACATTCTCTCTCAATCTCTCTCAATCTATCTCACTTTTGTCTCAAATCTCTCTCACAACTTTTCCACAAACTCACACAAAATTCTAAAGCTCTCTCTTTCAAAGTGCTCTCATTTTAAGTCTTAAAGCTCTCAAAACTCTTTTCAACTTCAAGCTCTCTCAATTTAGTAGAATTTCATTTTTATAATGGCATCCTTTGGTTAGGGTGATAATCCCGTTGACCCCCAAAGTCCAATTCCTAATAATGTTTATACTAGGTAGGAATCGCAAACACAAGCACCCAAGGAACAATTTCCAATTCCAAATTCCGATCATGGTAGATCTTGTGGAGGTCATGGTCGCAATGGTGGGCATGGGGAGGCAAGTGCTTATAACACCTCGAGAAATTAAACGAGATTAATTAAGATAATTGAGATTTATTAGTGTGCCTAATTTAGTTTAATTAATTAATTATGTTTATTAAATGTTTCTCGTATTTAAGTTTAAATGTTTTCAAGGGATTTAAACATTTTTTTAACATTTATATTTTTTACCCTAGAAGTATATGTAGACACATTTTCTAGTCTACTTTTGTGAATATCTTTTGAAATTATCCTTTACTTTTCCTTATTTCTTTTTTTGTCCTTTTCTTTCCCTTTTTCTTTCTTTCCTGCGGCTCCCTCAGCTCAGCTCTCTCTCTCTGCGTTTGTCTCACTCTCTCTCTCTCTCTCTGTCGTTTCTCTCACTCTCTCTCCCGTAGCTCTCTCTCTCTCTCTCTCTCTCTTCAAAAATTTGTCAAATCTTCCAAAATCTTGAACCAAAGAGGAACTTCAATGAGTTTTCAACGTCAAGGGAAGGATTTAGGATAAGATTTCTGAAAGACTTCTCTTGAATCTTGAATTTTTCCTTTAGAAAAAGTTATTTTTAGTTTGAATTGGATTTTGATATATTTTCAGTAAGATCACGATGAAAATTGGGAAAAATTGGTTCTTTGGACTAGATTTGTCATTTGGAACCTAGATTTAGTGATTTTCCTTTGAAATATCTTGGATTGGAACTGGGATTTGCATGTTTTGGCCTTGTTTTCTTTGGATCGGCCATGTCGGCCGATTTATGCCGCCCCCACCAGTCGCACGGACCGGTCGACCGGTTCTTTCTCCACCGGCCAACCGGTGGAGAATAACTTCTCTGTCACCGGTCAACCGGTGCACCCGTAAACTGAACCTGTTTTGCCTAAAAATGTTGTTTTGACCCTGATTTTCAAAGAAACCCCAAATTAGTTTCATTTGAGAACCTAAAGTAGATGGATTAGCATTTTTAATCCATGTTTTGAGATTAAAATCCTTGAAATGATGATTTGAAACATGAAATGATTTATGAAACTTGGAATTTGGATTAAGGCACACTAATAGGAAATCGAAGTATATAATTGAGCTTGATTTGTTTTAGGAATGAGAGTTGAATCTTAAAACATTATTTTGTATCAATGCTAGTTGAGGAATCAGATTGAAGGCTTTGAGGAAGCGGAAGCTAGGATAGCGCAACGCTAGCAATAGGTTTGATACTTAAGATGTAGGATTTCTTGTCATTTTCTTTGATAGCCTATTTTTAAAGAGTTTTGACCTTACAAATGTTTTAAAGAAAGGACATGTTTGATAAAGAAAAGTATTTTAACACAATAGCTTAATTTTAGCTATTGGAATCATAATGAATTGTTTTAAAGGTTTAATGAATATTTTCTTAAGATAAGATATCTTGCAAACTGGTAAACCTGCTGATGGCCTAGATAGGATATGCAGAGAGTATCCTCGAGGGTAGAACCCGAAACCCGGACCGGGCCACTACGGTGGTGTTAAGGCTTGTGCTTGTGTAATTAATTTATCATAGTATAAATTACTTGTTGATACCTGTAATACGGAATTAAAAGTTTGTACTTCCTTTCAGAAAAAGGGATGTTAGCTTCCGGCTGTTGTGTTGGAAGTGGATATCTTCATTTACTTACTTATTCATGCATTTACTTGTTTATAAAGTTTATTTCAAAATACATCCTACTGGGCATTATGCTCATATTTTATTTTATTTCTATAAATATTAAACTCCCCCAGGCGACGCCAGAAGCAGCACAGAGTAGCTGAATTAGTTGCTACCGTATGTTCAAGTGAGGACATTGAATCCATCATCCTTGTGTATAAAAGTAAGGATTGTAAATTTTGAGACTATAAACTTTGAATATCGAGACTGTGGTTGATGTCTATAATGTTATTTACATGTTCATGTATGTACA